CGGGAACCGAGTGGAGACCTGAGGACCGGAGCGCTCACAAGCTTGTAAATAGCGTGTGCGTGCTCCCCTAACCTGATATGGTCCTCTGCTCCCGCCATATCTGCCTCTCCCACTGACCGTACTGATTCTTCCCTCCTCCTTCACTCCCCTACCCTCTCCCCCCACCTTTGCTCCCTCGCTACCCCCAGACATGGCTGGTATGAAGATAATACAGGATTGTGCAGGTAATTAGATAAAGGTATATGTATGATATTCTGTTGGTTATTTAATTAATTGATGGACAGTTGTATAAAAATACTTTCGGTGACATTGGAAGCAACATTGGTTAGGAATATCAGCATATGTCCACATTTCTATGCAGGTAAAGCTGTGTTCTTGGCTATGAACTTGAATGATTTACAATGAATTTTAATTAGATTATACAATGCAGCAAACTATATGGATTTGGTAATTAATGTATCAAAGACAAAGGTAATTGTTTGTGTGTGAGGAAAAATTAGAGTGAATATGTGACAAAAAGATAGAGCAGGTAAAAGAATCTGTCTGCCTCTGGGCAATGTTTATTAAAGATAGGATAGAAGCTAGTTTGGCAGGACAAGCCATATCCAAACCATTAATTGATTTTAACAATACTGATTTTAATTGTGCTCCATTTTGTATATAATTATAAACCTTGGGTGCTTATAGAAGGAAGAAAGGATAAAAATTTTATAATTAAAATAAATAATAAATTGCTGTTAATTCATACTGAATTGGGACAAACTGTGATGACTTTCTCTGAAAGGGTTTCTGTTAATAGCAGACATGAGAAACTTGTTATTTGCTTTCTGGGGGAAAAAAATCCAGAGCAGTTTTGATTTGCTCTGCAAATGAGATAGGAGGATTAGAAATACAGAAATTACAATATTTTTATTGACAATTTGAATTTACAAACAATATGTTCTGAAACTCAATGCATCCCGTGGGTCTCCTTTATTTTCCTTAACTAAGACTACTACTTCCTTTCTCTTACTTGTCTGGAGGGAGACATAATAAGCTTGAATCATTTGCCTTGGATGGTTGAAGTAAATGATGGGGTTTATAGTAGCAGCTGAAGAGGCTTCCTGCCAGCATTTTCCTCTGCAGTAAATGAGAGGAATGTTTGAAATGATTTTATTTTAATTTTTACCCAGTATCATTAAGATAGGTAAGCAACATTTTCAATAAAGAATGAACATAACACTGAAAGGAACTGCTATTGGGCATAGTAGTGCTTTCCAGTGAAAGTTAGAATAAAAATGTACAGTCTGAAAAGACATTTGTTATTCTTTGCTGAGTTGCTTTCTACTTATCTGTTAAGAATGTATAAATAATAGTGATGGGAAAGCTTTGCCTTAACATAACAGGGAAAATTATTTCCAGTCCTTCTTGGACAGAGCTTCTGACAATTAGCGCAGTATTTGGAATTAATGTTGTTGCTTTTCCTTAGTTTTTAGCATATATGTAATAGCTGTATTGAGGCCGGTCAGCTTTATATAAATAGCTTTTTCTTTTACTTCCATGTAACTAGATTTAAGAAAATCATAACACTTCAAGGCATTTAAAGTACTTAGGTTCAAAGAACTGTAAGCAAAGCACTATTGATAGCAGCAGATCTTTATCTGTGTGTTCAAAAGCAAGAGAAAGGAGTCTAGTATATTGTGGAGTTTAAAATTATACAGTATACATTTCAAGTAATTTTTCTTTTCTTATCTAAAGGATTCCTTGGATCCGAGGGAGGATCTCATAGCGAGCTAACCTTATCAATACATTTTGATGATTAATCTGTTTATAGGGTTCTGATGATTGTCTTGTGAAAATCTGGGCAACAGATGATGGACGGTTGCTTGCTACTTTAAGAGGGCATGCAGCGGAAATATCAGACATGGCTGTTAATTATGAGAATACCATGATTGCTTCAGGGAGCTGTGACNACCAATATTTTTTGGTTTATTAACAGGTAAAATACTATAGACACTTGGCACCTGATCATCTCCTGCAAATATGCCATCGACTTGGACCTCTTCTAGAGCAAGAAATTCCTCAAAGTGTCCCAGGAGTTCAAACACTATTAGGAGCTGGAAGACAGTCTTTGCTCCGCACAAATAAAAGTATGAGTATGCAAAAAAAAAATAATGGCTTGATCAGCTTTTTCATTCTATGTTTATATGCTTACATTTGTTTTTTATATTTAAATAGGTTGCAAACATGTTGTGTGGAAGGGGTCTGCTCTTGCTGCATTGCATTGTGGGAGGCCTCCAGAGTCACCAATAAATTATGGCAGTCCTCCAAGTATAGGTAAGAATGTTATTACATAATTGTAATAGCTAATATTGGCAATGTAACACTGTAACTGTGGCAATAGTTTTTGGCAGGTAGCTTCTCCTGTGTAGGTTTCTTTAAAAAAATGTGTATATTAAATCTGATTTTAGATTTTAAGAAACAGTCTTAAGCAACTAGAAATGACAGGATATTTCTGAATGTATTTGGAAGCCTATCTGAAATGATTAGACAGCATACAATAACTCTCATTCTCCCTCCCTCCCTCTCTCTTCCCCTCCCCCCCTCTGTCTCATAGGGAGTTGAAATCCGGAATGTGGCTTCTTTAAATTTCTTAATATAAATATGTCATTGGAGCTATTCTATTTTAATCAATTTTTAGGCTGAACAAAAATGTTTTAAGATTTTTTTTAGAAACAGAATAACAGAGTTTGAAGGGACTTTGGAGGACTTCTAGTCCAAACCCCTGCTTAAGCAGAAAACTCTATAACATTTCAGACAAATGGTTGTCTAATCTCTTCTTAAAAAGCTCCAGAATTGGAGCACCCACAATGGCTGGAGGAAAATTGTTAATTGTTCCAACTGTCAGGAAATTTCTCCTTAGTTCTAGGTTGATTCTCTCCTTGATTAGTTTCCATCTGTTGCTTCTTGTCCTGCCTTCAGGTGCTTTCAAGAATTGGTTGGCCCCCTCTTCTTTGTGGCAGCCCCTGAGATATTGGAACACTGCTACTATGTCACCCCTCGTCCTTCTCTTCATTAAACTAGACATATCCAATTCCAGCAATCATTCTTCATATAGTTTAGCCTCCAGTCCCCTAATCATCTTTGTTGCTCTTCTCTGTACTCTTTCTAGAGTCTCAACATCTTTTTTACATCATGGCGACCAAAACTGGATGCAGTATTCCAAGTGTGGCCTTACCAAGGCATTGTAAAGTGGTATTAACACTTCACGTGATCTTGATTCTATCTCTCTGTTAATGCAGCCTACAATGTGTTGGCTTTTTTTATAACACATAGCAACAGCTTATATTGTATGCCAGTATGGAATGTGTACAGAATACATTATGGTTATGAAATCAAATATGTTAATTGTTAATTGTGATGCTGCTGTTTGGAAAAGTGGAAATGTAAAAGATCATTTGCAAATGGGATATGTCAAAGACATGCTGCTTATTTCTACTGAAGAAACAAAATAATAAATGTCTGCAACCATTTTAGAGAATAACTTTCATGAAATTATCAGAATAGATTGTCTTCAAATAGCTATTCCTTGCTTAAAACCATGAAATGCTTGATTTTTCAGGTTTTGGTAGTTTTTATTTGGTAAATAAAAAAGGTTTGATTTTGCTGTTTGTCCTGATAAGGTATCAACAAGATAGGATTATGATGCTTTGCTGCTGACAACAGAATCCAGAATAAATTGAGTGACATTAAAGCTTATATAATAAATAAAATATTTTGATTTGCTATTAATTATGCACTATTGTTGATATAAATATCATTGATCATGTAGAAGAAACTGTAATAATATATCACTATAAAGTAACTTGGGATTCATGATTTAAAATATAATATGAACTAGCAGATGGCAGTATTTGATATTTGTTTCTAACTTTGCATTAGTAATTAAAAAAGCAGGAGGAAATAGCTTCATTTGTTTTATCCCAGGATTATGTTAAATATGTTCAAAGAAGCAAAATTACACAAGGCATCAGAAAAATTAGATTATGATCTCAGTACAGAGCTTAGATGTAATATAAAACATTGCTTTTTGGTGCTTTAATCAGGGATGCTTAAGGTAGGGCTGAATAACTCACATGTGCTTGTTTATTAAACAAGGAGTTTTGGTTGTACATGGCATGCAAGTATATAAATAAAAAACATTTTTATCTCCATTGACCAAAGTCTTTAAAACAATGAGTTATAGTAATTAGAATGGCATCATAAGTAGTAGGAGTAGTGGTAATAATCACTAAATCCTTAACAAATCAAAGTGCCATATAGGTAGCCCTTAAGTTACGATTCTAATTGGGCTGCTAATAACTGAGGATCTTTCACTCTAAGGTGAAATATATTGGTCAGATGTGTATGATTTTTTCAAAGTGCAATAACTTTTCTGTGTGTTTCCATTATTGTTGAGACCTATGAAGTGGTACTGTGTTTTCCCGAAAATAAGCCCTACCCCGAAAATAAGCCCTAGATTTGGGGCGAGGCGCATGTCTAAAAATCGAGCTGGAAGGTGGTGGAGCTACCCCACGCACACTGCACCTGCTTACCTTACTGATAGGACCGCAGCAGGCAGGCCTCCCATGCCCTGAAACCTGTCATGCTGCGTGGTTCTTCGTGCCGTTGCAGCTCCTCGCGGCAGGAGGCTGTATGGTGCTTTGGGCCATGGCCGCCGGTTGCGGCAGGACTCGGTGCAGTGCTTTGGGCCTTTGCCGTTCCTCACGGCAGGATGCCATGCAGCACTTCGGGCCATTGCCACTCATCACGGCAGGACTCCTTGCAGCGCTTCAGGCCATTGCTCCTCACGGCAGGAGGCCACATGGTGCTTTGGGCCATTGCCTCTACTCGCGGCAGAACGCCGTGTGGTGCTTCAGGCCATTTGCTGGAGGCTGCAAGGTGCTTCGGGCCGTTGCCAGTGGTCGCAGCAGGCCACTGTGTGGCATCCTGTGACTGGCGATGATGGCCCAAAGCACCATGTGGCCTTCTGCAAATGGCCCAAAATGCCGCGTAGCCTCCTGCCGTGAACGGTGGCAACGACCCAAAGCACCATGCAGCCTCCTGCAAATGGCCCGAAGTGCCGCGCAGCCGCCTCCCGCGACTGGCGGCACCAGCATGAAGCACTATGCAGCCTCCTGCTACAACCATTGGTGCTGGCGCAATGTGCCACATGGCATCCAGCTACAAATGGTGGCAAGCAGCCGCTGAAGAAGTCAGGCAGCGGCGCGACAGGTTTCGGGGCGTGGGAGGCCTGGTTGCAGTGTTCCTATGGTAGGACATCTCCCGAAAATAAGACCTAGTGCCTCTTTTTGAGACAAAATATGACTGGGTCTTATTTTGGGGAAAACACAGTATGTACCTATGTATTTGTTATATTCTGACATAATACAAATATATTTTAATTACATGCATTATGTATATGAATAACGGCTTAAATCTTTCTTGATATTGCTTAACAGATATCTTTCTGAACATATATCTAAATATATCAATTTTTTTATAGCTGAAACTCTCTTTTCAAGAAAGCTTAATGGAAAATACAGACTGGAACATCTTATTCCAACTGCTGTGTATCAGCATATGAAAATGCATAAGCGAATCCTGGGACATTTGTCTTCGGTATATTGTGTAACGTTTGATCGGACTGGCAGACGGATATTCACAGTAAGTGCAGATTCATGAAACTATTTTAAAACATAGTTTTGCAATGGAAGAGGAGTAAAGAGTGATGAGTACAAATTAACAAATAAAGTGAAAGAAAAATAGGTGTGTTTGAGAAACCAACAGAAAGATGGAGAATATAATTGATGTGAATTAGTAGAATTGAAACAAATGTAAGGAAGGTTAGACTTAAGAACAAAACGGTTGAAATAGACATAAGAGAATATGAATTGGTATCATCTAGTTATAGCTCTCTATGAAAATAGGAAGCCATAAGTTGATGGAAAGTACATATATTGCAAATAATGACAATGGAAGAACTGGGATTAGTTTTGGTAAAAACTGTGCAACTTTCTGAATGAATATGATCCAGAAGAAAAAAATTATGACTAATGGATATGAATGGATGTCATGGAATAAGGTGAAAGAGTAGAGGAAAAAGTGATTGGGCTGTCCAGAGATCCAATAATGAACATAGAGGATGATGTTAGGTTTGTTCATGAAAAAGAATAATAATAAGAAAGGCTGATTTGATCTTTCATAAGGCTCCCACAGAGAGGGCCTCCTTAGAGTGCCGTCGGCCAGACAATGCCGGCTGGCGACCCCCAGGGGGAGAGCCTTCTCTGTGGCAGCTCCTGCCCTCTGGAATGACCTACCCCCTGACCTACGTACAGTTGCGGACCTGCGCCCTTTTCGCCGAGCCCTGAAGGCCCATCTATTCCGTGCGGCCGGCCTGGCGTAGTTTGATTATGTTTCAGTGGGGGGGGGGTTTACGGGTGTGTTTTTAGAACAGGCCTGTTATTTAATTCGATTTTAAAACAAACTATTTATTATCGTGGTTTTTAGTATCGCCTGTTCACCGCCCTGAGTCCCGCAAGGGAGATAGGGTGGTATATAAATTTAATAAATAAATAAATAAATAAATAAATAAATAAATAAATAAATAATGAAAGATTGAAGAAAAGTTCTGAATTTTGAACAGACCATAATTTGGCAGTTTGAAACATGCATCTTGGGGCCGGGGGGGGGTAAGTATGGGAAGGAAAAAAACACCCCAGAGTGAAAGAAGAATGACTACAGGAAGAGAAAGTTTGAATCCTTTGTCCAACAGCATTAGAAGATATATAAATCTCCTAACAGAATGTGTGAAAAGTGGATATAAAAGAAAGGAGGATGTGGAAGTTGCTTTGAAAGAATTATTTTGAATGCCATACATGTGTGTGGAAGTATAAGAAAGAATGCTTAGTAAAAAAAAAGTTGTGGATGAGGAAAAAGAAGAGAATGCTATAAAAAATAAGGATAAAGGGCATTTTTTAAAAGAAAAAAATGTATTAGCAACTAATCTACTCAAAGAAAGCCAGGAACAGGTAAGGTTAAAATAAGCAGAAAGAAAATTTGATGAAAAAAAAAATAAATTGTTCCAGGAGCTAAAAAAGGAACCTCTCTCCGAATGAAAGGAATTAAAAATAAAAGGGATTATTATTATTAGCTAGGAGACCACATGCTATTGTGGTCTCCTGACCTAGCTAATGTAATAGTTTGGCTGCCAAATTACCAGCTCTCTTGTAGGAAACGCTTGCGAGCTTCCCAAGGTGTGCCACAGAGGGCAAGCTGATTTTGCACCAGAAAGAAAGATGAGAGTGGCTCTTCCTGCGGGGTCAACCAAGCCCCTCTCCTTCCCTGGAGCTGCCTCGCAAATGGGCGCAACAACTGGGAAGATTCAGAGCCAGCAGGAATCTGCCTGCCTGCATGGAGCATCAGCTTGTCTCTCCACCAAAGTGGCTCCTATTTATCTACTTGCATAGAACATACTTTCAAATTGTTAGGTGGACAGAAGCTGAGGCAAGTGATGGGAGCTCACCCCGCCACACAATGCTAGGACCCTAACCACTAGAGTAGAGACCATCTGCAGGGTCATTAAGTCACTGAGCCACTGTGCCTCTTTAATAAAAGGGATAAAATTTGGGATGAAAATAAAGTTGAGGAAATGTTAGAAGTGGTAGTTTAGGGAGTTTAATGGGAATTACAGTGTATTTGTTGACATCTGAGAAAAAAATATATGAAAAGAAAAATGATTTAAAATGTTAAGGCTGCCAGATATAGGCAGGGTAATAAAAATGTTAACATACAAAGTAGTATGAAGATAATACAGGATTGTGCAGGTAATTAGATAAAGGTATATGTATGATATTCTGTTGGTTATTTAATTAATTGATGGACAGTTGTATAAAAATACTTTCGGTGACATTGGAAGCAACATTGGTTAGGAATATCAGCATATGTCCACATTTCTATGCAGGTAAAGCTGTGTTCTTGGCTATGAACTTGAATGATTTACAATGAATTTTAATTAGATTATACAATGCAGCAAACTATATGGATTTGGTAATTAATGTATCAAAGACAAAGGTAATTGTGTGTGTGTGAGGAAAAATTAGAGTGAATATGTGACAAAAAGATAGAGCAGGTAAAAGAATCTGTCTGCCTCTGGGCAATGTTTATTAAAGATAGGATAGAAGCTAGTTTGGCAGGACAAGCCATATCCAAACCATTAATTGATTTTAACAATACTGATTTTAATTGTGCTCCATTTTGTATATAATTATAAACCTTGGGTGCTTATAGAAGGAAGAAAGGATAAAAATTTTATAATTAAAATAAATAATAAATTGCTGTTAATTCATACTGAACTGGGACAAACTGTGATGACTTTCTCTGAAAGGGTTTCTGTTAATAGCAGACATGAGAAACTTGTTATTTGCTTTCTGGGGGAAAAAAATCCAGAGCAGTTTTGATTTGCTCTGCACATGAGATAGGAGGATTAGAAATACAGAAATTACAATATTTTTATTGACAATTTGAACTTACAAACAATATGTTCTGAAACTCAATGCATCCCGTGGGTCTCCTTTATTTTCCTTAACTAAGACTACTACTTCCTTTCTCTTACTTGTCTGGAGGGAGGCATAATAAGCTTGAATCATTTGCCTTGGATGGTTGAAGTAAATGATGGGGTTTATAGTAGCAGCTGAAGAGGCTTCCTGCCAGCATTTTCCTCTGCAGTAAATGAGAGGAATGTTTGAAATGATTTTATTTTAATTTTTACCCAGTTTCATTAAGATAGGTAAGCAACATTTTCAATAAAGAATGAACATAACACTGAAAGGAACTGCTATTGGGCATAGTAGTGCTTTCCAGTGAAAGTTAGAATAAAAATGTACAGTCTGAAAAGACATTTGTTACTCTTTGCTGAGTTGCTTTCTACTTATCTGTTAAGAATGTATAAATAATAGTGATGGGAAAGCTTTGCCTTAACATAACAGGGAAAATTATTTCCAGTCCTTCTTGGACAGAGCTTCTGACAATTAGCGCAGTATTTGGAATTAATGTTGTTGCTTTTCCTTAGTTTTTAGCATATATGTAATAGCTGTATTGAGGCCGGCCAGCTTTATATAAATAGCTTTTTCTTTTACTTCCATGTAACTAGATTTAAGAAAATCATAACACTTCAAGGCATTTAAAGTACTTAGGTTCAAAGAACTGTAAGCAAAGCACTATTGATAGCAGCAGATCTTTATCTGTGTGTTCAAAAGCAAGAGAAAGGAGTCTAGTATATTGTGGAGTTTAAAATTATACAGTATACATTTCAAGTAATTTTTCTTTTCTTATCTAAAGGATTCCTTGGATCCATCCCTCCTAGAGTATCGCTCGATTGGAATAGTTATGTAAAACTACTAATTAGACAAATATCCCAAGACTACTAACAGAACACTTTTAGACCCGTTGTCTACTACCTGCCAACGAACGATGAAATTCTCCCGTACGTCGCCTTTATAGTCTGTACCGACAATTAATACTCTTATGGTACTAACGAAGTCCCTCGACACTGAAGATGATCAGAGTGTGGTGTCTTCGAACATGTGCTCCTTTGGCTGTTCTACAAGGACACAGTGCATCTATAACATCTCTACAGGTAAAATAGATGACTAAGCTTTAAAATTTTGGAAGCAAAAGGACCAATAAGGAAGTAAAACAGTTTATGCTTTTTCATGTATAGTACTGTAATTAACTATGTATTTTAATAAGGCAAGCATGTCTTTGATATAGAAAGATAAATGCATTGTGGGGTCCTAGGTGCTCTCTGAGCTTGCTTGTTTTCTTGCCGACGTTTCATTACCCTAACTAGGTAACATCATCTGTGCTGTTTGCTATCAGTTTACATTCTGGTGTCTTGCCTGTCTCTGTGGGTGGAGGCGGTCTTACGGATTCTTTGGTTCAGCTGATTACTGATGGCTCTTTGGCAGTTTCTTGATTGGGGTATTGCTTACTTGATTGTTGGTCTGAAGTTGATCTTGGAGCTAAATGCATTGTCTAGGCAAGTTTATAATTGAATTACTTGTTTTCATTATTGGGAAAAAAATAATATAAGGCAAAGTGTATGTATGATCATACATAAAAAAAATACTATACATGGGAGAGAGAACTATTGCAGCATTTTCTGACAGAGCATTGCATTTGGTTCTAACTACTTTTCTATAGAAGTGGTAGTAATGACATTTTAGTATATTCCAAATCACTTGATTACTCATTTCCTTGCTTACTATAAATCAAAGAATTACCTAACAGGTTTTTTTTTTTGGTTTGCAGTTTTCTCCCTTGTGCAGTGGCTCAAAGCGATACTTGTCTTCAACCGGTGCAGATGGCACAATATGTTTTTGGTTGTGGGATGCTGGCACACTTAAAATCAAGTTAGTTTATATCTTCTATTTCTGTAAGATTACATACAGTATTTTGCAAAACTGTTCAGAAACTGCAAATGTTTTGTTTGCGTTTGTCTATGAGTACAAAATATTTTATCAAAAAGAGTAAATTTGCTTTTTTTTGGTGGAAAAATAGGGGAAATTTCTGAATTACAAGATTAGGATTTATAAATGCAGTAGGCCACGCATTGATATTAGTAGTTGATATTGTATCAACTATTGTGTCATATTGGCTACTTCTGTGTCTTGTAAAATACACAGTGCAGCTTAATTATTAGTAGGCTGTGGAGCACTTCAGGTATGGCACTTTGAAGGATGTAGAGTATGAATGTAGCACCAATCACCAGCACTTTAAATCAGCTGCCTTTGCACTCCCACATGATCAAATAGATCTGTTGCAGATTGAATCTTAAGCATTTTATAGCCTATTCTTTCTCCTGAAAACTCTTTAATGCTCAGCCAATCATTCAATATAACTAGGTGGCAACACCTATCTATCCTTGTTTGCTCTTGAAAAGGAAAGCAGAGTTGGATCTGATTA